GGACAATACCGGCATTATTTTTTTTAAAGCTACAGATGCATCTACTTAAATAATTGAAATATGCCATTATCTGGCAGTAACATAATGTGATCAAAGCTAAAAAGTCAATTGGAACAATACAAATTGAGAATAGAGCAAACACAGACCTTAGCTTGAAAAAATATCGCTGGTTGAATCAAGTGCGATGGAGGTGTAAGCATCCCCTGTCAATAAAAAAAATCAATGCGGCAAGTGTTTGAACTGAAGCGGCGGTGCCTGAGAAAATTTTGATTATAATATTTTTTTGCCTAAACTATTTTCAGTATTTCCCTCAGCTCAATCCAATTGCTTTAAATCATCAAAGCTTGGAATTGAAATTTCTTCCTGTAGCAATATTCATTTCATGCTTGTTAATATGATTGGAAATTTTTTGAAGACTTGGAATGGGCATGTGAATTATTTAAATGTGCTCATCATCAAAGGACAAAAACTATGCATTTTAAAAAGGAATTAACTTTTTTTTAAAATTTCTACAGAAAATTGAATTAGAAGCCATCCGTGAAATTTCACTGATATCAGATTCTACTTAAGTAATATATTGCGAAAGATATAGCATATATAACGGAACTGAAATTCCACATAAACAGTAACCTGTGATATATTTGTAAATTACCTTTTTTACGATAAGATACACAGTTGATAGTTTTTTTTTATTCCATGAAAAATATGGTTTCTGATAGCATTCAATGGCTATCCCAATTCTAAACCAATAAATGTATACGAATAGCGCTTACTGCCTATCTAAGAAAATGAAACGGCATACAGAAGGACATTATAACCTTAACACTTGTAAAATACTAAGTCAGACGTTTATATAATATGCACTTTAGCAATATTAAGACCAAAAAGTGATGAAATACTTCAGATGATGGTTTATTGATAGACCTCATACATTAAGCCAAAAGTAGACATACGTCATATATTAGTATTTGAACGTGAATAAGGCTTGAACAAAAAAAACCCCGGCTTTTTATACCGACGTACAAACAGATTCTGTTCCAAACGAACAGAATAAAATGAAAAAAATAACAGTTAAACCGTTCAAATAATTAACAGAAAATCTACAACAGTTATAGTACTACATGTAATAATGAGTAAAATATAAAAATACAACGTAAGTTTAATTCATTCACAATTATAAAAGAAATTATTTACTTCAGAGATGTAACTACTCGATATTCTTACTGTCAAACGGCGAAATTAGCAAGCTTGGGGAATCCAATACAATACACCGGAAGTAGACATTAATTGAACGCGAAATTGAGAAATGTAAACAAGAGGACTGATAAGAAAAAGATACAAACTGCAGCCAGATAAACTTGTTTAAGATCTTAATACAAAGGAAATGTTCAATTACATGTAATGTTTTAATTGCTTGTTCCATTGTCCAGTTGATACGCAATAATAGACCATTGACAATATTCAAAGTCAAAATTTGAATGCCCATTGTCGCCCTACCTTGCCCCCAGGCGTCGTTAATTGAAAATCGATGATTCTTCGGAAGCCGGTTGATGCCAGGTAGAAAAAATATTTTATCTGGCGGCCGCAAGATGGCCGCCAGATAAGTTTCTGGCAGCCGCCAGATAATTATTTGGCGGCCGCCATATAAATTTCTGGCGGCCGCCAAATAAATAGATAAATAGATTATTTAGCGGCCGCCAGATACGTTTCTGGCGGCAGCCAGTTATTTATGTGGCGGCTGCCAGATAAAATATTTTTCTACCTGACACCAACCGGCTTCCGTAGATACCTGATGAACCTTTCATAAAAATATGATTAATCATGGCCTTGTTGCTCTTGAAAAGAATTTTTCAACTGATATCTTTCTGTAAAACTTTGATCGCCCATTGTGGCTCACCTTTACCCCGGGAATCATGATTTGAAGAAACTAGAAAAAAAAAAACCATGATAATGCTTCCATATCAATCTGACTAGTCAGCGCTTTGCTAATACCCTGGAAAAGATTGTTAAAGATTCCTCCATATGTATTCCTAAGTAAATTTTGATTGCAAATATTGGCCCCTCCTACCACCAGGGTTTGAACAAACTGGGGTATACACTACCTGAGGCTATTTCCAAGGAAATATGATTGATCTTGGCTTTACTGTTTTTGAGAAAAAAAATTTAAAAAGATTTTTCATTTATATTCCCACTCAAAAGCTCTGGTCGCTCGTAGGAAACCCATCCTACTCCCTCAAGATATGAACATTGAATCTACACTATATTAAGAAGCTTTAATTATTAAAGTTTCATCTTTTCTGGTCTAGTGGATCTTGAGAAGATTTTTTAAATGACCCCACCATATATTACTATTTCTTATACTCCCTTTTTGAGAGAAACGTGGCCGTTCCTTTAAACAGCCTGAATCCCCATCACCATCCACCATGGATATTCTCTTCAAAGTTTGGTTGAAATTTGCCCAGCGGTTCTGGAGAAAAATGTGAAATTTTTAAAACGATGAAGATAACGACATAATTTTTTTTTAACCAGAAAAAAATCCATTGAGCCTTGATGATTAACACAGAGATGAAAAGGTGTCTCTTTTCAGTGAAATCTGTTTCAAAATGCTGCTATATTTCTTTTGAAGTAAAGAAAATAAAATAAATCAGATATATATATAAAAGAGTTTTTGTCCCTTGAAAAGTGGCCCCTACCCTAGAACTGACTTCCGAGTATATCTTTATATAACAAATAACATATTCTCTGTCCCGTAGTAGCTGAAAAAAAAAAAATCAATGTATAATAAAAAAAAAATGTTCATAAAAATGTCGGAATCTTAAAAGCAGGAAGTTGGGATCAGGTGCTTATGACAACACACTCGCTTTGTTGAAGAGAACAATATATGATGTACTTAATGGCGCTTAGTGAGCATCATCGTCGCTTTAACTTCTGTTCCATACTCAATTACAGGACTCCAGGGGCTCGTTTTACAAAAAGTCTGAAGTCTTAAATTTTCCGATCGTACGACATATCGTAGGACCGTTTTACGAAACGTGTCGTAATCACATGTCGTAACTCCTAAATCGTAACTTTCCTCGCAAGTCATAACCGAACTCTCTAGCGTGTAAAGGTATGAAAGTCCCTTAGATACCGCGCGAACCAAGACGCGATGATACGCAGACGATTTATATCCAAAATGGCTAGGAAAGAAAATTGGCGACAAGAAGAGATCTCTGCCCTTGTTGATTGCGTGGCAGATCGCATTGATATAATAAAAGGAAAATTTTCCCCATTTTTGACGACAGACAAAAAGGCTCAAGTCTGGGATGAAGTGTTGGAGAGGTATATGTTATATTATTTGGAATTGATGTTAAAGAGATACTATAGTTGATCTCATGCCCAAATAGATCAAAAGAACTTTGTATTGTTCTATCAGAAATTAAAAGAAAAAAAATTGCTCCCCCCTCCCCATGTACTTATATATATATATATATATATATATATATATATATATATATATATATATATATATATATATATATATATATATATATATTTTAAAAATAAATCCTTCTTTTTAACGTTATATGTGATAAGTGTAATGTCATGGTAGTCTTTACCAAAATTGAACCTGATAATTGTAAGAATAGACATATTGAAGACATATTGAAGTTTGTTATTATTTGAAATATTTTTATTTATATCATTTTTAAAAAATTTTCTTGAATATTTTAATTTGGGAGAGGGGGGGGGGGGTCTTAAGAAAAGATATACATATGTGCATTAAATAACATCATACTGACCTATGAATATTTCCTCGAGATATTAAACATGGCAGTAAATAAAATTCACTTAAGTAATGCAATAATGATTTTTTTTTAAAGATACGTTTTGGTTTTCGGCTGTATAGCCGTCGGCATTATTTTGGAATTTGTAATATTACGATAAATATATCGACCAATAGAATCGGGGAATCTCCCTTCACACAAAATGGTGGTTTGCATCAATTTGGGATCGGGTCGCGCTTTTGAAGATAAGAATACGATATATTTATAGAAGTCTTGTAAAACTGAAATTGGTCTGAAATGCGTGCAATTTTTTGCATCTATGATATAGCGATTTATGGTGACCCAGAAAATTTAGATCTTTTTTGGATCGCTGGATGAATCATCGAATCATGCAAATAGACATCTGACAGGTCTGGTACAATCACTAGATTTAGCTACGTAGCTTGAATTACCTACATAGCTTTATTTACCTACCTGAAGTAGCTTTATTTAGCTACTAAATCAAACTTATTTCTTAAAATTAGCATTTTTCCCAGAAAGTGCAGAAAATTGCACTTAGATGCAGTGATATTTAAATTTTCAACTTTGAACTCATCTGAAAACAGTTCATGAAAATTCACTCTTGGAGATGTGTCTTTTTCTGCGCAATTGCAATCAATGTTTTAAAAGTTTTGGGGCTATATACAACAGTTAATTTGTGATCTAACAGTTACTTCTTGAGTGACATAAAGAAAACCAGTTTTGGATAACATCAACACAATGTGAAGTAATCATACTTATCCACGCCTCATCGCACACAAGGTGGTGTACAGTTACTCAAACAATGGAAATACATTATCTTCCTTAAAAGTGTTCAAACGCAGCAATGTTAAAACTATCCCTGCTTTAGATTGCTTTTTAAATAATACCTAGAATAAATATTAGTAGACAGTTACTTGCGACTTTTTGTCTTTTAAAAATAAAAAGCAAAATTGGAAAAAGTTGCCTTGAAATAGCTAAATAAAGCTACCCGAGGTAGGTAAATAAAGCTATGGTAGGTAATTTTAGCTACGTAGGTAAATGTACTGATTGTACTGGACCTGGCTGATAGAAGCAAGTGTTTAGCGTGGTATCATTGATCATATTTAAAGCGTGCTCTTTCTTACTCTCTTTCAGTGTAAATGCCTGCAGCTTTACGCAGCGAGATGTGAAAAACATTAAAAAGAAGTGGGTAGACATTCAAAGCAAAACCAGAAAAAGAGAGGCAGAGAGGAGAAGAGACCAGAAGAAAAGTGGGGGAGGTCCACCACCAGCAAACTTAAAACCATGGGAAGATAAGGTATAAATTGTAATGGGGACATATCCCCCTGACAACCAGCTGAATCATCTGTATCCATACAATCCTCTCATTTCCAGTTCTCGGGTTTCATGGAAAATTCCAGATTTAATAGATGTACCAAACAATAATTCTATCTTACCACATGTAAACAAACAACAAGGCTGCTAGGCCTATGTATCAGTTTTTACTTCCCCTCACTTCCGGTACTTCTGTTACTACGGTTGTATTATTGAGCCACAAATTTGAACTAACAAAAAGCAACGAAATTTTACACCCATAGTTATTTAATGATTTTAAAATTAAATTATTGAAATATATAAGAAAAATGTTCTATAAAATCTATAAAAGCTTCGCGGATTAAAAAGCGTAAACTGACCCAAACCAGGTTATACTCGAATAATTTGGCCAAGAATTAGAGTCATTCCTAAAATAATTTTTGCCAATCAAATTAGTAAACTGTAACTTTAGATGAAATTCAGATAATACATCAAAAAGTTCCTCTCTTTAGTGAATTTGCTACATTAAATTAGAAACTGCTTTATATTTTTGATTTTAATTTAGTGTACAATTTTTACATATTCTTTCTGTTCTAGATATAACATTTAAGTATCCTTTGAATTAACAAAGGTGTACATGAAACCTGTCACTGCTCATTAGCCTTTTTGTAGATAATTTCTGTCCTGGATGATAGCATGGTGGTTGGGATAGAAGGTGGTTTTGACACTAGTGAATGTGGAAATAATGAATTTCCTAGAGCCACATCTCATGGTAAACTGTGGTTTCATGATTTTCTTTAAAATGATTTGAGCAAAACAAATGCATTAATACACATTACTTAAAGCTGAACATTTAGAAAAGGAATTTGTCTGCCATATTCAAGTGTTGACTCACTATATCTGAGGGCCCCCATTTTACATTTTAAAACACATTTTAATTTGAAAATTTATAAAGGAATAATAGACCTTTATGTCATTAAGAGTTATCTCTCTTATCAGAGTATCTATGAACCTTAACTTAATAATAAAAAATTATTTGTTCAAATTCTGATAATGCTTTGGGTTTATACTGGAACTTTTCCCAAAGCATTTCAAACTAGCTCCTTTACATTGTACAAATTATAAATGGATTTGTCACATCAATGATTAAGAGTTGATAAGCTTGATATGATGTCTAAAATGTTTGTAGATGTCTCCAAGTACATATCTGCACATGCCTCCAAAACCAAGAAACTAGTTCCAGAGACTATTCCTCCCTCATTTGCTGGAGGTAAGCCAACTAAAGATTTTAGATACTGTTATTATACGTCTATTGTAATTATTCTGTATAAAATTAATACCATAAAACTGTCTATTTCCCTGAGAAGATACAATTTCCCTCATCTGAGGACTACTCCCTGAAAAAATCGGAGCTACTCCCTGGGACTACTCCCTCATGAATATTTATTAATTATTTTAACCAATTAAAATTAACAGTGGGCGGAGCGTTCAAGTAATCTCGAGTCTGTGACATAATGTTATTAGCAATGTAACTATGACGTCAAAACTTGTCGACATGCGATGTCAAAATTACTGGAATTCTATCAAAATGAAGACAACGATAATCCTTCGAGATGTAAGTGAAATTATAATATATTTTTTAATAATTTTATTTTCCTCGGTATTGATGCATTAGTTATCTTACAATATTTTTAATCACATGCATTTGTGATTAATTAAATATCCAAGACCTGGATCTAACCATCACGCTACCCGAGAGTAACGACAGCATCTGTACTAGATTCTCAGAAGGAATTGCCCAAATCAAACCCATTTTGGAACAAAGACTAGTCTTGGTCAAGAGAAGAGAAAGTCTCAGATATGGCATCCAAACAGGGAAATTCCCGACCTGGTTCCATACCCGGTTCATGTGTACCCTGAACCTCCTCGCCAACGACGACAACGACCAATTCGAGAAATTCTGGCAGGAAACAATCAAAACCCAGACAAAACAAATTGCTCAAACAGTTCTGGACTACATAGATACGGAAATCAAATCCAAAGAATTGGAAAGCAATTCCATGAGGAACCAAATTTTACAGGAAATAAGACGCTAGTCGGTCGACTTTGAAGGAGAAAAACAAAGATTCGATGAACAAATAACCAAAATTCATCAAGATTAGGTTACTGAAATCCAAGATTTCAGGAATAGATTAGCCACCGTCACCCAAACAAGCCAACATGCACGGGACCAGTCCCGGCAAGCACGGGGGAGACCCTATCGTAGACCAATGGGACGCAGACAACAATTCAGAAGAAAACCGTATGAACACTAATAATGTAAAAACAATACGGCAATGCCATTATTCCTCTGAAGCAGTCCACTATCTAGTGATCAGAACGTTTTATTTGTGACAATGATGCATACAATTAAGTGATTGGAACTTTAGTTCACTGTAAAGGTACTAAGTGCTAAAACGTTTTTCACTATTGACATTTAAGTTAAAGTAATAACCAATACTACTTATATTGTCAATGTAAGACTAGAATATAATATAATACTTGCACTTTATTGTTTTTATTCTTTTTTTGTATGCCTATCAAAAAGTAGGCATCAATATTTATAAGCCTCATAAAAAGGAGGCGTATCAAGAACCACGTGGTATTCCTAGCTTAACTTAAATCGCCCAAAGATATACCAGGCGTATCATATATTGTTTTCCTCTATTACAACGACCAGTCGTTTAATAGACGGATTTTTAGACTTGCACTCTCCACAAAGCTCTTAACAATTGAATTCTTCCCTATTAAAATGGCTAGACGTTTTAATAGACGGAAGAAAACCAGAAAAAATCATAGGAGATCTCAATCTTCTTTATTGCAAATGAAGAGAGTTTACAAAATATATGAGAGTCGCTCGCAGAAATATGTGCTCAATTTATCCAGGTACAAAATCAATCGTCACGAATATTCTGCACTTTCTAAAGGCTTGAAATTCATACCAACTCCACAAAAAAGAAATATCAAAAAAGTTATTTTAAATGACTTTAACTCAGATGCAAGTATCACTATGACAAGGGAGAAAACTCCCCAATGCATCCCTTCAGAAAACCATCTGGTCACAAACCTCCATTTGCTTGTAATACCTTAGAACAATACATTGACAAAACCAAATTGGAACTATAATCTATTCCAATCAGGAAAATACACAACAATACTTCTAAACTAGAAGAGAAGCACTTAATTCTCTAAGAAACAATAGCAATATTGTTATCAAAAAAGCGGACAAAAGCAACACAATTGTTATTATGGACAAAGACCTGTATATCTCAGAGGCGCTGCGCCAATTGCAATCCAAACATTACATGCAAGTTGAAAAACCCAATCTACACAACTTGCATAAAATCATACAAAATAAAATTTCTGAAATGCACTCCAAGGGAACAATAGATAAGGAAACATATCGCTTTCTCTGCGATAACAAACCCTTGTTAAAATGCGGTCATCTATACTTGCTCCCTAAAACACACAAAATCAAAGATAATGTCCGAGATGCCCTAATGAAAGGACAATGCAGCATCAAACAGCTACCACCTGGTCGCCCAATTATTTCACAGTGTGATACGCCAACATGGAACATAGGCGCTTACTGTGATTATTTTCTCATTCCTATAGTACAAAAACAATCAACATATATTAAGGACACTACCGATTTTATCAACAAAATAGAAACCTTCAAACTTCCAGACGACGTGCTGCTTATTACATATGATGTAACTAGTATGTACACCAACATGGAATTTGACGAGCTCCTCTCCGCCGTCAATGAAGCATATCAAAGCGCTAACAAACCACAAAGAGAGATCCCTTATCCGAATGCTGAAGATCTAATCTTTCTACTAAAGTGTGTCTTAGAAAACAATTACTTTGAATTCAATGGAAAATATTACAAACAAATTATAGGCTGTAGCATGGGTGCGAAACCATCCCCTGAAATTTCAGATACAAGAATGTATCAAATCACAAATCATATTATGTCAAAATTCAAATTCGCCAACCAAGTTCTCTATCACGGTAGATATAGAGATGACGGTTTTATAGCCTTTAACGGCACAAAAAAGGAAATTCTAGAATTCTTCGATATCGGCAATACCTGCCACGATCACTTAAAATTCACATTTGAAATCTCAGATGAAAGTGTTAACTTTCTTGACACCACAATATACAAAGGCCTGAGATTCCAAGAGAATAAAGTGCTTGATATCCAATCATATGTAAAACCAACAAACAATTTTCAGTATTTAAACAGAGAAAGCGCCCACAGTCCTTCAGTATTTAAAGGATTTATAAAAGGTGAATGCATCAGACACGCAAGAAATACAAGTGATTTATCTATCCTAACAACGATTGTAGCAAACTTTAAGACACACTTGTCCAAGAGAGGTTACTCTGATAAGGAAGTTGATCCTATTCTCACTGAAATGGGCAAAACAAACAGAAAAAAGTACTTGCATAAAAAAATCTTGAAAGAAAAAAAGCGTCAACCAAATGTTATGATTACCAAATACAATCCATATATTAAGGGTTTAAACAAACGCATTCTCAAACACTAGAACATCTTGCAAACAGACACAATTTGCAAAGAAATATTTATCGATGAACCAATAATCGCCTACAGTAAACACAAAAACATAGGCGAAATAATAGTCAAGTCACGATTACAATAGCTTAAGACTCATAAAAAGGTGGGCTCCTGATGATGGTGGGCCTTAAGAGCAAAAATATCATATTTCTCTTTAAAAACCGCCGAAACACTCTATGCTTCCATAATAACATTTTTATTAAATAACTCATAAGTGGTCTAGAGTGTCGGGCCCTAGTAAATTTACAACAAGCTTGGTTGATTGATGTCCTTTTTCAAAACAACTATTCAGAGATTTCTTTTTGTTGTGGAGATATGCTGAATGGAAATATTTAGGGCCCACCCCTCCAAGTCCTTAATGGGGCCGTTTGACAAAAATTGAAAGGGTGCATATTGTTTAGAACATTATTCTGACCACCTTTTGTTCAGTATTCAGTATCAAAATATTCTCCCTTTTCGAGATATAAAGTGTCAAAGATTTAGCATTCTGGCCCCTTGTGACCCTTATTACGTAACATATGATCAGAATCTTATCACATATTGTTGTAAATCGTTAAGATAAGCATCTTTGCCTCAGTAATGTATTACAAATTATTGATCGTTAAATAGTTAAAGATGAAAGACTTTTGGCCCCTCTCAGCCCCTAATTTGAAGGGTCAGCCCCTTTTTCTTAATATCAAATGAAAGGTTTTGTGATTTTGAAGACTTTTTGTTCAACAACTATTCAGAGATTTCCTTTCGTTGTGGAGAAATGCTGAATGGAAATATTTAGGGGCCACCCCTCCAAGTCCTTTATGGGGCCGTTTGACAAAAATTGAAAGGGTGCATATTGTTTAGAACATTATTCTGACCACCTTTTGTTCAGTATTCAGTATCAAAATATTCTCCCTTTTCGAGATATAAAGTGTCAAAGATTTAGCATTCTGGCCCCTTGTGACCCCTTATTACGTAACACATGATCAGAATCTTATCATTTATTGCTGTATTTTATTAAGATAAACATCTTTGCTTCAGTAATGTATTACAAATTATTGATCTTTAAAGAGTTAAAGATTAAAGAGTTTTGGCCCCTCTCAGTCCCTAATTTGAGGGGTTAGCCCCTTTTTCTTGATATCAAATGAAAGGTCGTATCATTCTGCACAACTTTTCTTCTATATGTTTTAACAAATTCTTAACATGTATGAAGATATAAAAGTAAAGGTGTAAAATTTTGTGAGATTTTTTTGAGACATTTTTTGAGCCCTACCGAGCTTCGGCGCCTTTTGCGCTAGAGAGGTTTGAACACCTGCCTGCAAATTTAAAAACCTTCCCCTACCTTCACTGAAAATCTTGCCTCAATATCTTAAGTCGCTTCGGAGGAGTTTCCAGGACAAGCCGACCCTCTAAAAATCAGAAAATCTTAAATATCTCGAGATAGAAAGTGACGTCTGACGTATTGCTTGTTGCATTGTACAGTTGATATGCAATTATAAGCAGTTTACAAAAATAAAAAATCATGCATGATGAAACAAGGATATCAACAGTCTCATTTGAAGTCAACATTTGATCGCCCATTGCGGCTCCACCCTAACCGCAGTGTCTTTATTTGAAAATTCTTAAGTCTTCATTTCTCCAGGAAGCTTCCATAAAAATATGACTAATCATGGCTTT